CTGTAAAATGATTATGAATCAATAAAAAATGTAAAAAAAAAAGAAGGAAAAATGGCAGCAGTGGACTGGTCTCAAGATGGAGAGCAGAAGCACGAAAACTCTCTTTTGACTTTGATTCAGAACGCATACAGCCTCATTTCTGGAGCATGCTATGGTCCTTAGTAAATCACATTCCAGCCCAGATTCAAGGAGTAAGTAACTGTACTCCTCTTGTTAGTGGGTAGATCTGCCAAAAATTGTGCTCACTTTTGTAATCTACCACAACCAGACCTGTAGCCATGGAAATGGAAATGGTAAACTTTTTGGATTCCTGAACCAAATTCCAGTGTGTGTGTGTTGAGGGATGGGGATGGTAGGGGAGATGTCTGATAATTCAACTTAGTTCTGACACCATCTACCCAGAGGTAGCATCAAATTCCACAAGTTGAGGGCTCAGTCCCACAAGACACCCCCTCCCTCTACACACATATACTTTCAGACACTGGTCAGTTGTAAGCTGAGGCTGTTACCTGTGCTTCTGACCAACTGGCTACATATTGGAGGTCCTAGTGACCCGTCCTTGAATTTCGTTAATTTGCTGAAGTGGCTTAGCAAACCCGTTTACTCACTAGATTACCATTTATTATAAAAGACTATAACTCAGGAACAACCACATGAAAGAGATGCATAGGGCAAAGCATGAAGAAAGGGTGTGGAGTTTCCAGGCCTTCTCCAGGTGTGCCATCTGAATCTCCACCTGTTTGCCAATCCAGAAGCTCTCCACATGGAGACTTTATTAGTTATGATTGATTAATTCATTGGCTACTGATGTCTGAATTTAATATCCAACCTCTCTCTCCTCCCCGGAGGTCCGTGGACGGGACTGAAAGTTCACACTCTCTAATTACTTGGTTGGCTCCACTGGCAACCAGCCTACTTTCTTAGGAGATCCAAATATCATCTCATTAGCATAACAAAGGCACTTTAAAAATTACTCTCCACACTTAGAAAATTACAAACGTTTGGGGAGCTGTGAGCCAGGAACCACACAAAGACCAGCTGTAAGTGATATGTATATTCGGTCATCTGAATGACCAAATATACATTTTTCACAATATTGCAATACAGATTGTAATGTTGCTGAAACACGACCTACGTACCCCACTTATGGAAGTTTTAGATGAGGTAGAAAAGGCAGCTTTATTTCTTTGCCAGACAATGGAGGTCACAGTGGGCTAATGCCTCTAAGACTGTAGGCCTGCTGAGCAGAGCAGTTTCCATAGAGATCGCACACAGGGTAACAAATTGTCACAAAGTTGTTCTTGTTTTTACAGTTGCAGGGGTTCTCTTCCCTCTTCTGGGTATGAAGTTCACTTCAGTCTTTGGGACTCTTAATATTCTTGTACCTAGAACAAAGGATGCATAGGAAGGGGCTCCTTGGCAAAGAGCTCTAAAGAAAAACTTGTGCAGTTGAAAGTCAGGTTGAGAAATGCTTTTAGCCTTTGAATCAGGCTGAGACCAGGGCCCTTTGCTGCAGGCTGACGCCTGCAGCTTGAACAACAGGATACAAGAAAACCACAAGGGGTCAAAAGCAGGGCACTGGGCATGATCCCTGCACACAGCACCAGCACCCCAAGGAGACTGGGCAGACCACCCAAGCCTCCTCCTTTCCAGCCTAACCCTGGGTCAGCAAGAGCATGAGAAAAACCCTTTAAACCACTGCAGTGAGGCATTGCAGTTAAGCAGTTACAAACACCATTACAGGTATCAGATGGTCACCAGTGATGACAGTAGGGTCTTGCTTGGTTACAATTCCTCCTCCCACCCCCTCCTTCTCTTTGATACTCCTCAATCTTGAGGAGGAACAGGTATGGAACAAGAGAGGTTAATCGTAAACTTGGCAGAGGAACTTGGTTTTAATTTCCATCTCTGTTTCAGTAAGATAATAATGGGAACTGAAATCTGAGAAATAATTGAAGAAGGGTGAAAAGGCAAGTTAAATCATTTGAACTAAGTAATTTGAGAAGCAACATAATTCATGTGATTAAAGATTTGTAGTAAGGTTGACCTGGATTAAAGTTCTGTTCAATTTTATCACCAATTCCCTTCCCTGAAAACTGGCCTTAGATATGTCATTTATTTTCTTTAAGTTTTCATTTGTTTTTTCATTTGCAGAAAACTGAACATGATGATATCTGCCTCATTAGGTGATTGGTTGGATTAAATGAAATCTTGAAGTAAAGTACATAGCTGTATGCTTGCTATAGTATGGGTTCAAAAAATGCCATTACTATATTATTTGTAGACAGTATTTTTCTTAGTACTATTATAAATAGTATCCTGATTACAAGAAAAATACATATCAGAAGGAAAACTCCATTGGAAAGTAATTCCGTTTTGGACAAAGTTTGATTCCATGGTCAATAAATAGTTGCTGGGACATTGAAAATTTAGAACTGGAGTTTTAGATGGAAATCACAGATAGAAATATTCATATAGAGATGGCAGTTGAAACCTTGGAAATGAAGGAAATCTGGAGTGAAAATTTGTACAAGAAAAAGAGCAGGGAGCCAAAACTAAATATTTAGGGATTTAGAAGATTAGATTATGGTTAACTTAGCAAGTTTGATCAAATATATAGGATAAGAAGATATTTTTGTTGTTGTTTGCATTTCTGGCACTAAATTTCTGCTCATCATGTTTCCAATCACTGACATCATCGCCAACTGTTAGAATCCTATTCCTCTGTAAAGATATATTGCATATAGCCCCTGCTTTCCAAGCTGAATGATCTCAGCCTGAAGCAGAGTATATATGAATCATAATAGATCAAGAAATACTTTAATTTAATGAAAGAGAAGGTGCAAGGTTCATAATATAAATAAAATTCCAAAATTTTCTGATAATCCTTCATAATGCATAAACATTAAATTTAAATATATCTAACCATAGATATTTAAATATAATCATGTTCACATTTGATGATCGTCAGTCATAGGCTTCCCCTAAATTCTAAACTCAAATATTTTTAGAAGACAAATAGTTATCCCTGATAGTTGAGTATAAAATTAGCACTACGAGATACAAATGGTAATTACTAATTGCAATTGGTATAAGAAACCATGAATCATCTGCTTCCTTCAAAAACAACCTGCCATTCATTTTATTAACGGCTCACCACAGGGCAGAACATTGGCCAGATTATCAACAATTGTGGCCTCCATTGTATATTTGAGTATTGTAATCTTAGTGTGAATCTAGTGTGAAATATTACATCATTTTTCAGTTCTATTCAATGGACATTTACTTAACATATATTCTATGAAGGACGTGCTATGAAGGAAGGATGTTTATCAACTAAGAAAACATTTAGTTAGTGTGAAACACATATTTTAACTTTCTTTGGTTAAATTCAAAAACATTTTTCAGCTTTGGTAAAACCTGTTGTGACTGCATAATATATTTTATTGCTGATGTTCGGAAAACTAAATTTTTCAACTGAGTAGACATTCTTTGTAAGTGTGGTTAAGGGGAAAGTGTGTGTTTGAGTCATCCTGGGTGTGGGAAGGGAGGTAGGTGGTTGTATTTTATTTTTCTAGGCTGTAGGTGGTATGTTGATATGTTGGGGCTATTTCAAGACTCGGGAGTGAATGTTCTATTGTAGTTTCTATTTTCTTTTGTCAGAGATGTGCTGAATGTTGTTTTTGTTGCATGTGGTATTTGGAAATTTGATCCAGAGGAACATGTTTTAAGAGAAAAAAGAAGTGGGGGAAAATTGATATCAGTCAAACCTACTCCTACACTACTCATCTGGTGGTTGTTACTGCTTCTGTAGTTTTATTTTGTTTCCCCACGAGACAGGTACTGAGTGGAGAACAAGATTGTTAGCTTTTCTATTTAACATGCTAGGGGCTTTGACAATTCCCTTACAACAAGTACTTCCCTCAAAGGAGAGAAGAGAAAAGCCACAGGAAACATGAGAAGAATTTGGGAAGAAGGTTCCAAAATATATTGAAGTGAGAAAGAAAATTTAAGACACACAAAAAGGAAAACTGGAGTTGCTGTTTCCATCTGACCATATTAAATATGGAGCTCTAATAAATCCTTTCATAAAGACTTCAGATTTATAAAATGATTATCAACCTGCATAGGTCATATGTGGGTGAAATCAATTAGATAAATATTGCTCCAAGATCCGTCCTCAGCTGTTTACTGTCTCTCTCCATAAAATCATCCAAACGTGTGACTCCAGGTATAGCTATAAAAGTTATCTATCACCGTAAAGAAATTTATCTCTTAGTATATACTATTTATTACTTATGCTTATCCTGAGTTCTAGATCCACTTTACAACTTGAGTGTCATATAAACACCTCAGGTACCAATCCAGTATTGCCCTCATTTTTTTTCTCCTCTATTTTATATTTTAGTAAATGGTTCTACTACCAAGTCAAGGGCTCCAGTTCAACACTTGAATATCTTTCTTGAATCTTTCTTTTTCCTGATCTACTCTTCCATCACCAGCTTCCACCAATGTAATCTCCAATTTCCATCAATTAAATCTTCAAAATAGATCTCCAACCCAAACATTTTCTTTTCTTTTCACTGTTGTAGCCCTGGTGCCAGTCACTGCTGTCTCTCAGTCCTACCTCTGCTACAGCCTCCTCGTTAGATTCCTTACACACAGTATTCCCTCACGTTATTCTTTAACTTCTGTGATGTGCAAATCTGATCACAGCATAGATGCAATGAAATACTAGAGGAAGTGAGTTGGAGCACAGGGGATGGTAATCATGCAGTTAGATTCCTAAAATTGAGCTTTAGAAGATCAGGCTGTTACTGATGATGACAACATCAAGGTGTTGCCGTGAACGTGGGTGTCAGAGAAAAACTAACGGAGCTGAGGAGACTAGCAAACTGAAAAAGCAGTCTGTTGAATGAATTTCCTGTGATTCTTCAAGCCGTTAAGAATGGCAATAAGAATAGGTGGAGAACCTGAACTTCTACCTCTACCTGGAATTGATGAGGCAGCACCCCGCTTCACCTACTGGAGTAGTCAGTGGAGGCTTGTGAAAACTTAAAATTTAAATAAGATCCATGATTCGTAAAATAATATCCAAACTGTCCAGGTTTCAATAGGAAATTACTAGCATATCAAGAAACAGGGAAAGCCCAAACTGAATGAGAATTGACAATCAACAGATTATCAATCCTGAGATGGCACAATTGTTAGAATTCTCTGAAAAGGATTTTAAAACACCCATCATTAAAATGCTTCAATCAGCAACTATAAACATGCTTGAAACAAATAAAAAATAAAGTCTCAGCAAAGCAATGTAAAGTTTCAGCGAAGTAATAGATATAAATGGAATCAAATGGGAATTTTGGAGCCAAAAAGTACAATAACAAGAATAAAAACTCAATGGGTGGGCTCATCAGCAGAATGAAGAAGGCAGGGGAAAGAATCATTGCACTTGGAGATTAAAAAAAAAAAACAGAGATCACGGGGGGAAAGAGTAAATAAACTGAAAAATAGTCTCACACATGGAACTGAAAGAAAATCTCTATCATTCATATCTGTGCAATCCAAAAAAGAAAGGAGATGGAGGGATGAGCTGGAAAAGTGGTATAAGAAATAACAGCTGAAGATTTCCCATTTTCCCATCCTAGTCAAATTTCTGAAAACAAAAATCTTAAAAAGCAACCAGAGAGAAGTGACCCATTATTTATAGGAGAAAACCAGTTCGAATGACAATGGAATTTCATCAAAAATCTTAGATGTCAGAAGAAAGTGTATTTATTTAAATGCTGAAAGAAAAGAAATGTCAATGCAGATTCGTATATGCATTGAAAACATCCTTTAAAATGCAGGGGATAATCAAGATATTCTCAGAAAAGAACAAAGCAAGAGAATTTGGCACCAATAGTCCTACTCTAAAAGTGTGTCTAAAGGAAATTCTCTAAACAGAAAGGAAGTGATGAAAGAAGGAATCTTGGAACATCAGGAAGGAATCAAAAACATGGAAGGGGCATAAATACAGACTTTCCTTTTCCTCTTGAGTTTTCATGATTATATTTGACGGTTGAAATAAAAAATTATTACACTATCTAATGTGGTTCTCAAAACTAATAATGATGACAAGTAATGTCTATGAAAATTGTATTATAATGTACAGCATATTCCTTATAGGAAAAATATTCTACTTTTTTCCACAAGAGGTCACTGCAAGAGCCTCTGGGGGAAGGAAGTTGTTTTAACCAAGAAGAATTAATGTGTAAGACAGGAAAACGACTCAATTTCAGAAAGTTATTAATAGCCTTCCCTGCTCTGGGGAGGAGCAAAGTTACGATTGGATTGGAGCACTTCATCAAGTCACTTGAAGGCCAGAAATAGGCCCTTTGCTCTA